ACACTACGTGATTTGCACATCAAAGACATCTTTACAGACACATCACCCAAAGCAGTGATAGTGAAGGCGAAGATAAACAGCTGGGACTACATCAAATTAAAGAGCTTCTGCACAGCAAAAGAGACAATAACAAAAACAAAGAGAAACCCCACCAACTGGGAGAACATTTTTGCACCCAACACTAATGATAAAGGACTGATCACAAAAATCTGCAAAGAGCTGATGAGACTCAACAACAACAAAGAAAATAATCCAGTCAAAAAATGGGCAGAAGAGCTAAAAAGAAACTTCTCTGAAGAGGAAATGCAAATGGCCAACAGGCATATGAAAAAATGTTCAACATCACTCGTCATCAGGGAAATGCAAATCAAAACTACCATGAGATACCATCTTACACCAGTGAGAATGGCACATATTAAAAAAACTAGCAACAACAAATGTTGGTGAGGGTGTGGAGAAAAAGGAACTCTTCTGCACTGTTGGTGGGAGTGCAAACTGGTCCAACCACTGTGGAAAGCTGTGTGGAGATTTCTGGACCTACTAAACATAGAGCTTCCATATGATCCAGCAATTCCACTCCTAGGTATTTACCCAAAGGACACAGAAACATCAATTCCAAAGAACACCTGCACCCCTATGTTTATAGCAGCACTGTTTACAATAGCTAAGCTTTGGAAACAACCCAAATGCCCAAAAATAGATGACTGGATCAAGAAGATGTGGTACATATATACCATGGAATATTACTCAGCATTCAAAAAAGATAAACACATGCAATTTGCAGCAACATGGATGGCGCTGGAAGGGATCATGCTCAGCGAAATAAGCCAGAAAGAAAAAGAAAAATACCGGATGGTCTCACTCATAGCAGGAATCTAGAAAACTTAAATAAGGGACCAGGAAAATGAATAACTATAAGAAAGTGAAAATCAAAATCAACAAAAAACTATGAACCAGAGACACTTTTAGGGGGCAGGGGCGGGAGGGGAGGGATTGGGGTCAGAATGGGGGCGCTGCAATTGTATGGGGAATATAACAATAAAATTTATTATCTAATAAAAAAAAAAGAGTAATTAACCTGGTCTATGCTAACAAAGATATAGTTGCCTTTAGTTTATACCAAAATTCTCTTCATAAAGTCCTCTCCAGGAAGACTAATCCACTCATCTTTTCCCCTTAAAAAATTACTTTTTTTCCCAGTAGATGCCCTAACATCTTTCCTCCCCTAGCTAAGAAATTCAAGATGACATCTAAAGCCATGAGCTACTCAGCCAAACTAAATCTCTCACAAGTATACAAAAAGTTATTATCTATTAAATCTCTCTGATGTTTCTTGCTTTTATCAATCTATCTAATGCAAACCTTTAAAAAAAGTCCAAAAAACTAAAGCTGCTTTCACTAGCTTCCCACAACAAAATGAAGACTGTGTAGGTAATCTAAAAATCTTGGTGTTCTCTTACCCTCAGATACCTAAAAAAATTCTTATCTTATCACCATTGCTGAGACCCATTCTTAAAAATCCTTGTCACTCTAAGTAACTATTTTATAAAAATCCGTAAGTTTGGTTAATCCTGAGACAACTTCCCTGACATCAAAAAAAAAAATCTAAAATATTAAAATCTTTATCTTAAAAAGACTCCTAATACAGACAATAAAAATGTTTCCCTTGTATAAAACAATTTAGATCAATCTGGGTACATTCATACCTCATGAAAAACATTATTATAAAAAATTGTTACACCTTTTCTACATAAATGTAAACTAATGGGAGTATTGTAAAAATACATAAGGCTTCTTAAAACAAATATATCTGGGGCCTCCCTGGTGGCGCAGGCGGTTGAACGCAGCGCTGTGAAGCTGTTTGTTAGCCTCTGCAGTGCCATTTTGATTCCCACCAGCCTCGGAGCAACCCACATGGCGCTGCAGACCTCTCCTGTCTCACCCACTGCTCCTCTCAGCAGTGTATTTCGTCAGTCTGCCTGTTCTGTTCCCTGCTCTGCCTCTGGTGAATCCTCTCACCCTCCGGCGCATCTGGCCTGTACCCCAGTTCTTGTATAAATAAAAAAAAAAAAAACCTAATATATTCTGGTAGATTCCAAACACTGATCTCAGTGGAGTTCACAACTCCAAGACTTGGTCATAGAAACAAAAAAAGTGATTATCTTCCTCCTTCAGGGCATACATAAGACAATTTTTAAGCTAGTCGATTATAAAAATCTGATAAAAGTTATGCAGAAACAAAAAATCCTTAAATCACAACTTTTAAATCAAAAAAGGGAGACTCTAGAAAGTAACTTGTCCCCTTAGAAACAAATATGCAAGGCTTTATTTACTTTTAACTTTTTAAATTGTAGTTCCTCCGGGCGAACAGCTATTGAACAACATTTCATTCATAATTCTTCTGGCCTCAAGGCAGAAAACAACATTTTATCCCTTGAGAACCAAGTCCTAGGCCCTGGGTTTTGTATTGCCACCCATTGTAAGGACCAACTTGGCTGGGACCTATAGAAATTTTAATATGGGGGAGAAGGTATGTTTCTGTTTTATCACCTACAGGACCTCCTTGGGCTCCACTGAAAGCAGTACACTCCTATCATGAGCTGGCATCAAGGAAAGACCAATCCTATTCCAGAGCTCCAGCTGTTAAGCGATTCAGTCACCACCAGGAATGGATCCCTTTCCATTGACGGTGAAGTCCTCCAGAATCAAGACTTGATGCCCTTGAGCCTGCTGTACTAGCCTCTGCTTTCAATAAGCGGCACGAGAACTTCTGCTCAAGTAGCAGTCTTGCCTTGCAAACCTGCTCTACGACTTCTGTGTCCCTCATCACGATCACATGTCCCTTTGCGACAGGACATGCGGAAGGGAATACGCATTCTCTGGCATTCCCTCAACAGCTACCCTTTTGCTTAGGCCTCCTCTAGGAAAATGGAACTCCAGAAGCATTCCCACACTCTTGATCTGTATTCCTGGAACCCATCTCCTTGCCCTTGCAGGATGTGCTGAGAGGGCTACTAAAAAAAAAAAAAAAGGAAAACACACAAAGGGTACTATTTACATCAACGATTCTCAACTTAAGAGGATGGGGATAAGAGGGAGGAAAAGGAGCAGTGTGTCCCTAGAGACAAAAAGAAGTTGCATTTGGCCAGAATTCTAGTTGTCACAACTGCAAAGTGCTACTGACATCTACTGGGCATACACAAGGGTGCTGCTCAAACATCCAACAATGCACTGAACCGCTTCCCACACAAATAATCCAGTCCAAATGTCCACGATACCAAGGTGGAGAAACTCTGACTTGCCTCCAGTCCCTGGCAGAGTTACTGAAAGTGAGTGTTTATCTGAAACACTACCTGAGGGAGTACCTTCCCTATATTTGAGTTTCAGTCTCCCAAGCAGGTTTTAGATCAGCTACCATGTTGAAAGTTCCACTGCTCTTTTTCTCTTGTCTTCCTGAATTTGAATTCCTAAACAATATAAGTACATAACCAGGAATTTTTTCCTTTGATTTTTGCTATTGATTGCTTTGTTGCTATCCATTTAAACCATAGCAAGCAAAGGCTATCTCTTGAAACAGATACAAGCAAAAAAAATTTTTTTTTTTTTTAAAAAAGGGAAAGTAGTAGAAACAAGGAGAAAAAACAAAGTCAAAGCACTGGAACATTTTTCAAACATTGAAGCGCTATTAAATGTTTCCATAGTAAGGAGGAAAGTCCAAAATATATCCACCAGCACATTTTCTGAATTGTGGCTTCCCACTTAAGATAAATATTGCAATAAACTACTGGCCCAGCATGCCCACATTACCTCTCTGACCTTATTTCCCACGACTTTTCCCTGCTGTCTCCACTCCAATCACTCCATTCCCACACAGCAGGTATGCTCCCATCTTCAGGCCTCTGTTCTTTATGTCTCTTTATGTCTCGCTCTTTCCCAGCCCCCTAACCACACTTCTCTCTCCTTCACCTCCTTCAGATCTTTGCTCAGTTGCCATTTTCTCAAGTGAAACCTTCCCTCACCTACGTATTTATAATAGCAAAACACCCGGGGTGGGGCAACCTTCTCTATGCTTCCCCCCCCCCATGTTTTATTTGTTCTTAATCTCCCACAGTAGAAATTCACTCCATGAAAGGAGGTTCCTTGTCTGCTTTATTCATTGCTAGATTGATAGTGTCCTAAACAATGTCTGACTCTTAACAGCTGTTCAGTAAAATCTGTTGAAGGAATGAGGGATTGAATACAAAGGAAACAAAAAAATTAATGAATGGGTGTCTGGCATTTTCTGCTTAGATTCTCAGCACCCCCTCCATCTGAACTGGGACCTTAGTACAGAAAGCATGGTTGGCAACTGCGCAGAGGGCAAACATCCTCATACGGTTGCAGGTGGGGCGCGTAATTCTCTTTGCAAAGCTATTCAGCGGCTCGTATCCTAAAGTGAAGTTACGTATATTTTCACCCAATTTTTTCTCTACATGTACCCAATGGAAGTAATAGCACAAGTGCACATCACTGCCACGTTGTTTATTGAATCCAGATTGAGCTGCTGTTTCAGCTCAGGATGCAGAGGCTGGAAAGAGTATCCGTGCCATCCTTACAACAAAAAGAACGCTGAGCAATCTCCTGTCGTTTTACTTTAAAAAATAAATAAATAAAGGAGAAGTGAACGGCACGCGGTCTCAGCGAAGCAGGTGAAACCAAAACCAGGGGTCTAGCTACCCACTCAAGTCCCAGCGACCGTGCGCTCCGCGATGGTCTCCCCGGGGGGCCCCCAAGCTAGCGACACACACAGACACACACTCTAGGCTCCTTTAGAAGTTTCCGTTTCCTGGAGATGGACTCCGCCTAGTCAGGGATCACATTCACTTTCTAGTTTCCCTTCCCGCGGGGGTCCGGCTTTAACAAAGACCGACGCCTGGACACCGACCCTGCGCGGCCGTCGCCGGGGCCCAGCGCGCGCCCCGCCAAGCGCGCACTCGCCCGCGCGCGCCCAGCCCCGCCGCCCGGGATCCGCGGTCGGGAGGAGCAAGCGCGAGGGGTCCGCCGCCTCCCGGGAGCCCCCAGAGCCCGCCACCATGAGGTAAGGCTGACCCCGCTTCTCCTCCCACGTCTGCGCGGGTCTTTGTTTCTCACGGTGCCTCTTTCATGCGGTCCTCGTCGCGGGGCTGTGACCCTGGAAGGCGCCGAGCCCCTCGCGCCGGGCATCGGCCGGGCGTCCGCCTCTGGGAACCTCCCCTGGAGCCCCGTCCTCCTGGCCGAAGTCGGGCGCGAGGGGGAAGGTGGCGGAGCGGACCTTGCCGGGGTCCGCGCCCCCCCCCCCCCGGCGTGCGCAGCGGGACTGTCAGCGGGTGGCGCGGCGACGCGCGGGGCGGGCTGCCCGGCTCCCTGCGGCTCCTCTCCGCCCGCGCGACGGCCACCAGGCTGGGTTCGCGGCCGCCCCCGGGGCCATTCGGGGCGGCTTCTACGTGGCGCGGGTCCCCTTCGGCCTGCCACCTCCTCTTCTTCCCAAATCTGCAGCTGCCATCCCCTGCGTGGGCAGACGCGGCTCGCCGCAGCGCTGCAGGCGTCGCACACGCCCTCCACTGCCATCTTGCCTTTTTGATTTGTGGGTCCGAGTTCTCCACCTTCCCTGACCTGCCTTTGTGTCGCGTACAGATGTGTATTGTTCGACCCAAAGCGCTGTGTGGTGGGATTTCTTTATCGGTCTCCTTTATCAATTTATGGCGGTGGGTCCTTGGCTCACCCATTTTGGACCCCCAGAGGCTAGCGCTCTATCCTTCTCCCCCGTTTAATTAGTCGAGGAATGAATGATGAAGATCTGGGGCTCCGCATGCAAATAGCCCTTTTTTCTAAATCCTGAGCTGAACACCGCCTGGTTGTGTGATCCAAAGCAAAATTTATTAAACTCTGCGAGACTCTCCCATCTGTAAAAATTGATGGCATCCGTCTCTTAGGACCAAGAAAGGGTTAATTGACAGTTTAGCACATATTATTTGTGGACAGTGGTGATGATGATGATGATTACCAAAAACTATTTTTAATTAGTGGCTCACTTGTAACATATATAAGAAAGAAGGGGGAAGGTATCCTAAAGGGGTCAGAGAATCCAGGAGGAAAATGCAAAACATGAATTATATATTTGTATGCAAAATAGGGTCGGAGAGGGCTGGACCTCACTGAGAACTGTATCCCAAGGAGTAATGAAAGGCTAGTTCCAGGCAAAAGAAAACAAAATTACCTAAGATAAAGCTTGCCTCTTCAGAAACAATAGCTTCTCTCTGCCAACTTCCCAGAGACAAAAGTTAAAAAATAAAATAGAAACAATTTAAAAAGTAAAATTTCTCATATATCCAGTTGTGTGTAAATTCCACAGAACTTGGACAAAGCACTTCAGTGGCTGACAAATTGCCCCTTTGAGATCTCATGATCACATTCATAATACCTGAGATAGTATTCTTCATGGTCCTTCATTGTCTGAAGGTAGAAACCTGCAGAAACCTGCAGAACAGAAGAGATGTTCATTTTGCTCTACAGATATCCCCCAACTTGTGTATCTGGGCAAGCTGTTACGGGCATAGCAAGTGTTGCCCATGATTCTGGTGCAGTTACACCAGAGAAAGGAGAAACTGCCGAGGGCAGTCATATCACATTCCTAGTCAAGACCTTAGGAAACAATTCAAAACCTATTTTTAAAATCCAAACATGGGACCTCCCTGGTGGTGCAAGCGGTTGAGTGCAGCGCTGTGAAGCTGTCCGCAGCCTCTGCAGTGCAGGTTCCATCCCAGTCAGCCAGGGAGATACCCACATGGCGCTGCAGACCTCTTTTGTCATGCCCACTGCTCCCCTCAGCACTGTATTTTGGTCAATCTACCTGTTCTGTTCCCTGCTCTGTCTCTCGTGAATCCTCTCACCCCCCACACCTCTGGCCTGTACCCCAGTTCTTGTATGCATGAATAAATAAATCTTTTTAAAAATTAAAAAAAAAATCCAAACATGAAGCCAGGCAAAAAAAATATATATATATGCCAAGGTATAAAAGAAAGACAAACAGAACAGTGAAGACTGATATGAGAAATTTTGGAACCATTAGCAGGAAAGGAAGAACTAGCAGGAATTCTGTCATCTAGAATCCAGGGGCTTTTTTTTTTTTACCAGCCCTGTTCCTCTAGGCTGGACATGCCACAGCTACCAGTCTGTAACTGCATTCATTCAACAAATATTTATTGAGATTTTATGGTATTCCTGGAATAACAAATGCTGAGGACACAGTGATAGAAAAACAAAATCAAAACAAGGTCCCTATTCTTATGGGGTTTACATTTAAATAGGGGAAATAAATAATAGTAAGTTAGCCAACAATCATTATTTGGAAAATAATAAGAACTATAAGAAAAATGAAAGTGTACTAAGAAGGTGACCCAGAATGATGGGGGGCTATTTTAGATAACTTCTAGCCTCTTGAGTGTGGAATATTTGAGCGGAGTTATGGGAAAGAACTAGTTATGCAAAAGTTTAGAACAGAGCATTTCAACTAGTCTTTCAATTAGTACAAATGTCCTTGAACTTGGTATGCTCAAGATAGGAAGAAGGTCATTGTGTCTAAAATACAATGAACAATGAGGAGGTTAGTAGGAGAAAATGTTGGGTGAATAGATAACTGATCCTTTGGGGATATATAGGACATGGCAAGGTTTGGGTGAATACCTAAGGGTGTTGGGAAGTCATTAGGAGATTTTAACCAAAAGAGTAACATAACCTGGTTACATTTTCAAAAGTGTGGATATAAGGAGACCAGATTTTTTTTCCCGCAACTCAAAGGAAAGGTAATTGTGGTTTAGATTAGGAAAATTGTAGTGTAAATGGAGAAAATTGGGGTTGGATTTGAGATTTATCTGGTGATAGCATTAATAGGTCTTCATATTGGATTTGATGAGGAGTAGAGAGGCAAAAAATCAAAGATTACTCCTAGGTTACCTGGCTTTTGTAACTAAGAGATACCAAATAAAGTGGGGAAGACTAGGCTCAAGGAAATCAGATTTCTGTATTGGACATAATTATTTGAAATGCCAACTGAAATTGAATTAAAGATGTAAACTACAATTACATTAACCTGGAATTCAGAAGAGCGATCCAAGAGAGAGGAAATATACTGGAAGGTTATAAACATCAGAAAATCTTTAAATTGTGGCAGGGAACATATTTTAACTCATTTACCTTAATAATGATTATATCTTTGATAAGTAGCATTCTTATCTTTCCTTCAAATCAGATCCTTTAATATATTTTTACCTAGTTCTTTCATTCTTTCAGAGAATCACTAATCACCCCCAAAATAAATAAATCTCTGTCACTCTGTATCTGAAGCACTCTGCACAGCACGTCCTGGTAAGAAGTAGCTGCATCTCAGAACAACTTCAGCAATGTAGAATGTTGTGACTTGAAATTGAGGGTCATATTTGAAGCCATTGTTTTCTTAATCTGAGACCTTTAAATATCTGGCATGTCTTTCCAGTAGGCAGTCACACAGACCTCTTTTTTCCTCTTGAGGTTGCTCTAAAATCTCTTCATGTTTTCTCATCAGGTTCTCCCAAGACAAAATGAAGTTTATATACCTTAGATATAGCCTATATTTTAAAGCAAGCTATTCTTAAAAATAAACTTCCAGTGTTTATAGTAAAGAGGTATTATAGCGGTATGGTTGAAAATCATAAGCTTTTGAGTCTGGCAAAGCTGGGGTTGATTCTTGGCTCAGCCATTTGATTGCTGTGTAATTTTGGACTTGTAATTTAAACTGTCTGTCACCCAGTCCTCATCCATAAAAATATGAAAATGCTGAAAGGTTTTTATAAATATTAAATGTAATTTGAATAAAATATTTGACACACTGCCTGGCACGTAGTAAACTATCAATGAATGGTAGTTTTATTAATATTTTGGAATGCCCACCAAATTCTAGATAGTTTATATAAATTGTATAAAATTTATACTGAATCTGCATTGAGGCCAGGTCATATGCATAAGGCTGTTTTTTCAAAAAATATTCTTGCTTGCTGTTTAATTTAACTCTTCACCTTGAATAAAATAGCAAAAATTTCCAGTTAAAGGAGAGCTTTAACCTGGTGGGCATAAGACTTTTTACCCATGAACCCTGTTGACCCATTGTCTCCAACTCTCCTGCCCAGTACAGTAGCCACTAGTCATGTGTGACCATTTAAATTAACTAAAAACAAATAAAATTTAAAATTAAGTTCCTCATTTGCACTAACCACATTTCAACTGATCAGTGATCAGCAATGGCTAGTGTGTCTACCATATTATACAGTACAGATAAGAACATTTCTGTCATGACAGCAAGTTCTGCTAGAAAGCTCTGGTCTAAAATCTACAATGACTAAAAATTTGGCACCTGTATATATGTGTGTATACATACACACAAAATGACAAAGAGAGAAAGAGAATATAAATAATTTTTATACAAAGAATTTAAAAATATAAAAATTGATGTTAATAATTATAAACTAACTTTAATGTCTACCAAATATAATATTAAGCTAACGATTTATGTGTAAGTTTAGTATTTATAAAAATGGGAAAACATTTACTGGACTAGATTATAAATAGGAAGTAGTTTTATTTTTTCAGCCACTACTACTAATTGTACAATTAATCCAGCTCTCTAACTTCTTGTTACTTTGAATATTAGGACAGTTCGTTCCAGTTCCTACAGACTTAGTCCAATTCAGTTTAAAGCCTAAATATCACATTTGACTAAAGTACTCTTTTTCTTCTTCCCAGCTCCCAACAAATATTGATATATGTGTAATGAGTAACAGGAAAATGTAATAGACTGTAGCATGACTGGCAAGATGAGGATGCAGCTTTAGCTAAGGTGATCTTTGAAGAGTGGACATTTGAGCCAATTAAAATAATTATGAGAATAAATAAGCCCTAGAATTTTCTTAAGAAGAGTTTACAGAGCAAGAAAATAAAAAGCAGGTGCATTACTAAAGTGCAGTGAGTGAGAGGAATGTGGTCCAAAATGAGACTGAGAAATAGACAGGGGCCAGATGATACAGGGCG